ATGGAATTATTCAAAAAGATAGGGCAATTGTAAACAATTTTCACCAAATGGCAGAGCCCCAAAATATATGAGAAACTTGGGCAGAACTGAAGGGAGAAATACACTGTTCTACACTCATAGTTGGAGTCTTCAACACTTCCACTTTCTGTAAGAGAAAACATCTAAAGAGTAGATAATTGAGGGGGCCAGCGCTGTGACGTAGTGGGTAAAATGGCCGCCTGCAGTGGAGGCATCCCATACAGGTGCTGGTTCGAGTCCCAGCTGCTCCTCCTCCAATCCAGCTCTCTGCTGTGGCCTGGGAAAGCAGTAGAAAATGGCCCAAGTACTTGGGCCCCTGCACCCACAGGGGAGACCTGGCTTCGGCTCAGCCCAGCTTTGGCTGTTGTGGCCATCTGGGGAGTGAACCAGCAGACAGACAATCTCTTTCTTTCTTCCTCTGTCTCTTTGTAACTGTGTCTTTCAAATAAATAAATCTTTAAAAAAAAGATAAATAAGGACTTGAGTAGCACCATAAACAACTGAACCTAATAGACATACACAACACACTCCACATAGCAGCAGAATACACGTTTTTCTCAAATGTGTATGAACAGTCTCTAAGACACAGCATATGGTAGGCCACAAAAAAAGCCTCAGTAAATAGAAAAGTATTGGAATCACACGGAGTGTCTTCTCTGACAGCAACAGAATGAGCCAGAAATCAGTAGGAAAAAGACAACTGGAAAATTCACAAATATGTGGAAATTAAACAACCTATTCCTAAAATTCCCCCGACTTAGGGGACAAAACAAGAATGCCCACTATTCAATATTGTATGACAAGTCCTAGATAAAGCAGAAAAAAAAAAAAAAGTAAATCTCTCTCTATTCACAGATGACCCAATTAGAGAAGACTTAAATACCAGGATGAATTTGTCAAAGTCTCAGGATACAAGATCAACGCTAAAAGCAGCTGTGCTTCTGTATGTCAACAACTTTTCTTGACCATCTGTAAAGAAAATTGACAGAACATCTCCATTTATGATAGCAACAAAAATAATACTCAGGGCGGGGCAGCCCTGTGGCACAGTGCCAGCATCCCATATCGGGGCTCTGGTTCGAGTCCTGGCTGCTCTGTTTCACATCCAGCTTCCTGTTGACGCACCTAGGAAGGCAGTGCATGATGGCCCAGGTGCTTATGGCCAGTACCTGTGTGGGAGACTGGGATGAAGTTCCTGCTTCCTCTGGCTTCAACCTGGCCCACTGCAGGAGTACACCAGAAGACGGAAGATCTCTGTGTGTGTGTCTCTCTCCCTAGCTATCACTCTGCCTTTCAAATGAATAAACAAATCTTTAAAGAAAGCAATACCTACGAATAAGTCTAACTAGTAGTTAAGACTTGTACACTAAAATATGGCAAAATGTTGCTGAAAGCAAATGAAGACCTAAATAAACAAAACAACATCACATGTTCAGGGACTGTAACACTTCTCATCATTAGGATGGCAATTCTACCCAAAGCAATTTCTAAATTCACTGTAACCCCTATCAAATTCCAATGACTTTTACCACAGAAGTGGAAAGGTTAATCTTCAACTTCATTTGGAATTGCAAGTACTCCAAATAGTCACAATTTTGAAATGGAGAAAAAGAAAGTTCAATTTTCCAACTTTAACTTTCAACTTGGAAATTTCAAAATTTTTTAGAGCTACAGTGATCAGAACAGTATGGTACTGGCAATGGAATACACATATAGGCCAATGAGATAGGGCTGAGAGTCCAGAAATGAAATCGTAGATCTATGGTGAATCAATTTGTGGCCATTCAATGTAGGAAGAAATGGTGTTAGGGCAACTTGCTAATTCTGTGCAAAAATGAAGCTGGATCCCAACCCATGCCCTACACCATATACAAAAATTAACTCAAAATGGATCAGCAACCCAAATAAAATAACTACAATATAAAATCCTTGGAATAAAACAGAGGGGTGGGGCCAGCATTCTGACACAGAGGGTTAAACCCCACCTGCAATGCTGCCATCCCAAATCGTATGGCTGCTCTGCTTCTGATCCAGTTCCCTGCTATCATACCTGGGAAAGTAGCAGAAACTGACCTAAGAAGTACTGGGCCCCTGTCACTCAAGTAGGAGACCCGGATGGAGTTCTTGGCTCCTGGCTTCAGCTTGGCCCAGCCCCTGATGTTGCAGCCATGTGGGGAGTGACCTGGCAAATGGAAGATCTCTTTGTCTCTTCTCTCTCTGTGTAACTCTGCCTTTCAAATAAATAAATCTTTTTTTTTTTTTTTTTTGACAGGCAGAGTGGACAGTGAGAGAGAGAGACAGAGAGAAAGGTCTTCCTTTGCCGTTGGTTCACCCTCCAATGGCCGCCGCGGAGGCGCGCTGCGGCCGGCGCACCGCGCTGATCCGGTAGCAGGAGCCAGGAGCCAGGTACTTTTCCTGGTCTCCCATGGGGTGCAGGGCCCAAGCACCTGGGCCATCCTCCACTGCACTCCCTGGCCACAGCAGAGGGCTGGCCTGGAAGAGGGGCAACTGGGACAGAATCCGGCGCCCTGACCGGGACTAGAACCCGGTGTGCCGGTGCCGCTAGGCGGAGGATTAGCCTAGTGAGCCGCGGCGCTGGCCTCAAATAAATAAATCTTTTTTTAATATGCAGACTTCTTTTAAAGATTTATTTTATTTATTTGAAAGGCAGAGTTACACAGAAAGAGGAGAAGCAGAGCGAGTGAGTGAGCCAGAGAGAGAGAGAGGTCTTCCATCCGTTGGTTCACTCCCCAGATGACCACAATGGCCGGAGCTGTGCTGAACTGAAGCCAAGAGCCAGGAGCCTCTTCTGGGACTCCCACGTGGGTGCAGGGGCCCAAGGACTTGGGCCATCCTCTACTGCTATCGCAGGCCATAGCAGAGAGCTGGATCGGAAGAGGAGCAGCTGAGACTAGAACCGGCACCCATATGGGATGCTGGCACTTCAGGTCAGGGCTTTAACCCACTGTACCACAGTGCCAGCCCCCAAATAAATAAATCTTTAAAAAGTTGTATTGTGATTACTGTGAGCAGACTTTAGAACTGGTAGGAGCAATAAAACAATAGCAACAGGGGCCGGTGCCGTGGCTCACTTGGTTAATCCTCCGCCTGCAGTGCCGGCATCCCATATGGGCACATGGTTCTAGTCCTGGTTGCTCCTCTTCCAGTCCAGCTCTCTGCTGTGGCCCGAGGGCAGTGGAGGATGGCCCAAGTGCTTGGACCCCTGCACCCGCGTTGGAGACCAGGAGGAAGCACCTGTCTCCTGGCTTCGGATCGGCGCAGCGCACCAGCCGTAGCGGCCATTTGGGGGGTGAATCATTGGAAGGAAGTCCTTTCTCTCTGTCTTTTTCTCTCTCATTGTCTAACTCTGCCTGTCAAAAAAAAGAAGAAGAAAAGAAACGTAATAAAGCGTACATATTAAAAAGGGCCGGGCACTGTAGCTAGTGGATAAAGCTGCTGCCTGCAGTGCCAGCATCCCATATGGGTGCAAGTTCAAGTTTCAGCTGCTCTACTTCTGACCCAGCTCCCTACTAATGTGCCTGGGAAAGCAGTAGAAGATGGTGCAAGTCCTTGGGCCCCTGCACCCATGTAGGATCAGCCTACGTGACTTCGAATCAGCCCAGCTCCAGCCGTTGTGGCCATTTGGGGAGTGAACCAGCAGATGGAAGATCTCTCTCCCTCTCTCTCTGCCTCTGCATCTCTGTAACTCTGTCTTTCAAGTAAATAAATAAATCTTAAAAAAAAAAAAAAAAAAAGTAGGCCGGCGCCGTGGCTCAATAGGCTAATCCTCCACCTTGCGGCGCCGGCACACCGGGTTCTAGTCCCGGTCGGGGCGCCGGATTCTGTCCCGGTTGCCCCTCTTCCAGGCCAGCTCTCTGCTATGGCCAGGGAGTGCAGTGGAGGATGGCCCAGGTGCTTGGGCCCTGCACCCCATGGGAGACCAGGAAAAAGCACCTGGATCCTGGCTCCTGCCATCGGATCAGCGCGGTGCGCCGGCTGCAGCGGCGGCCATTGGAGAGTGAACCAACGGCAAAAGGAAGACCTTTCTCTCTGTCTCTCTCTCACTGTCCACTCTGTCTGTCAAAAAAAAAAAAAAAGAAAAAAAAAGAAAAAAAAAAGCAAACAGTGGTAAATCTTCATGACTTTGGAACTGGCAATTGAGCTCTAGATACAACAAAGCATGAAAAAAATGGATAAACTGAACTCAGTGTAGGTGTTTCCTTTCTAAACTCTGCTGTAGTTGATTTTTATTTTGCTTTGAAATGTATTCATTCCAAAATATTTTCTAGTTTTTGTTGAAATTTCTGCTTTGACCCACTGGTTGTATAAGAGTATGTTGCTTAGGGGCTGGCATTGTGGCATCCCATATGGGTGATGGTTTGTGTCCCGGCTGATCCAGCTCCCTCCTAGCGCACCTGGGAAAGCAGCTGAGAATGGCCCAAGTGTGTAGGCCCCTCCACCCAACTGGGAGACCTGGAAGAAACTTCTGGTTCTGGCCTGGCCCAACTCCAGCTGTTGCAGCCATCTGTGGAGTAAGCCAGTGGATGGATGAACTCTCTTTTCCTCTCTCTAACTCCGCCTTTCAAATAAATAAATTTTTTTAAAGAATGTATTGCTGGCCGGTGCCGTGGCTCAATAGCTAATCCTCCGCCTACGGCGCCAGCACACTGGGTTCTAGTCCTGGTTGGAGCGCCAGATTCTGTCCCAGTTGCCCCTCTTCCAGGCCAGCTCTCTGCTGTGGCCCAGGAGTGCAGTGGAGGATGGCCCAGGTCCTTGGGCCCTGCACCCTCATGGGAGACCAGGAAGAAGCACCTGGCTCCTGGCTTCGGATCAGCACGGTGTGCCGGCTGCAGCGGCCATTGGAGTGTGAACAAAGGAAAAGGAAGACCTCTCTCTCTGTCTCTCTCTCTCTCACTGTCCACTCTGCCTGTGTTAAAAAAAAAAAAAAATGTGTTGCTGCTTAAGTACCAAATGTTTGAATATTCAATTTTCTAAAAATTCCTTGATTTTATTTTGCAGTCAAAACAAAAGTTTCACATATTTATTACAGAACTAACATTCTTCTACAGACTCTAGAAACAAAAGGGAAAACCTTTTTCCCAGTAAAACGTGTCCAGCTGTCCAGAAAGTGGTGGTACTTTCTTCAGCTTGATGTGGTAAGATGACAGTGACCTTGGTGCCGTCACAGGTGCAGTTCCTCAGAGACCCAGCTTGGTTCTCCGCCAATGTCTTCTCTTGGAGTTGTACCGGATTTTGTTGCCCGTCTTCATCCAAATCCACTGGGGAATGGGCCGGTTCTGCTTTTGTTTCTTGGCCAGGAATCGCTTGATCCGGAAAGTCTTGTGAGAAGACATGGCGAGCGCTGGAGTCCACTCCGCACACCACGACAGCGGGGAGGAAAGACTGTTAATGAGAAGAGACTGTCAACGCTTGTAAATCCCATTCCAGAACCGAGTTACATGGATTTAGTCTTCTTGAGTTTTTGAGTCTCACAAATGGTCTCTCTTGGAGAATATTCCATAAGCACTTGATAAAAATGTGCATTGTACTGTTTTGCAGAGTGCTCCATGGACTGTTGTTAGGTCTGGAGTTCTAGCGTTAAGTTTTCTACTTCCTTGTTACTCTTTCTGGTGCTATTACTGACATTGGGGATTTGAAGTCTCCAGCTGCAATTGCCTATTTGTCCCTTGAGTTCTGTCAGAAAAACTGCCTACCAAAAAATTCTGTATCTGAAAATATCCTTCAAGATCAAAGAAATTAACAGTTACCCAGCGGGCCAGCCTTGTGGCCCAGAGGGTTAAGCCACAGCCTGGGACTCCAGCATCCCCTACCAGAGCGCCGGTTCACTGCTGCTCCACTTCTGATCCAGCTCTCTGCTGTGGCCTGGGAAAGCAGCAGAAGATGGCCCAGGTGCATGGGCCCCTGCCAGCCATGGGGTGGTTGGACCTGGTTGAAGCTCCTGGCTCTGACCTGGCTCAGCCCTGGCTGTTGTGGCCATTGTGAGTGAACCACAGATGGAAGATCTCTGTCTCTCCTTCTTTCTCTACCTTTACCTCTATTTCCAAATGAATACATTTTTTAAACAAATTAATGCCAATAATGTAAATTTTATAGATGAATTTAAAAGCCAGTAATATTGTGCTTTTGGTATACAACTTCTGATTTTCCTATATGATTTAAAAGTCAAATGCATTAAAAATGGCAAATCTCTATTAATGGGAATATGATATGAAGTTCTATTCTGTTGACAATAACAATACGAAGGTGCTAGGGGCCTGGCGCCGTGGCTCACTTGGTTAATCCTCCGCCTGCAGCGCCGGCATCCCATATGGGCGCCGGGTTTTAGTCCCGGTTGCTCCTCTTCCAGTCCAGCTCTCTGCTGTGGCCCAGGAGGGCAGTGGAGGATGGCCGGGGTGCTTGGGCTCCTGCACCCACATAGGAGACCAGGGAGAAGCACCTGGCTCCTGGCTTCGGATCAGTGCAGCGCCGGCCGTGGCGGCCATTTGGGGAGTGAACCAATGGAAGGAAGACCTTTCTCTCTGTCTCTAACTCTACCTGTCAAATAAAAAATAAATAAATAAAAAAAAATACGAAGGTGCTGGAAAGAGTGGTAAGAGAGTAGTATTTGTATAGTAGTGAAACTAAGATGGCATTTTAAAATAAATTCTTTCTAAAATTTTTATATATTTATTTGTATTTATTTGAAAGGCAGAGTGACAGAGAAAGGGGGAGAGAGAGAGAGAGAGAGAGGGAGGGAGGGAGAGTTAGTTCTTCCATTCACTGTTTCACTCTCCAAATGGCCACAATGGTGGGGCTGGGCCAGGCTGCAGCCAGGAGCCAGAAACTTCTTTGGGGTCTCCCATGTGGGTGACGGGGGCCCAAGCACTTGGGCCATCTTCAGCTGCTTTCATAGGCTGTTAGCAGGGAGCTGGATCAGAAGTGGAGCAGCCGGGACTTGAACTGGGGCCCATACGGGATGCCGGTGCTGCATCAGGTCTCCCGCCTGGTAGCAGGAACCCAAGTGCCTGGGCCATCTGCTGTCTCCCAGGCACATCAGCAGGAAGCTGAATCAGAAACTGAGGCAGGATTTGATTGCAGGCATTCTGATAGAGGATGTGGGCATCCCAAATGGTCGTTTGACCCACTATGCCACAACGCCTTGTCTTACATGTTTTTGTTCCTCAATTATCTCATTACTAATTCTCTCTCTCTTTTATTTAGTTGATTTTTGTGTGTGTATGAGTGTGTGGTGTACCCTTTTGGGTCCCTTTGTGTGCATTTTTTGGTTATTTTCTAATGGCCAACTTGAGGTTACAATTCCCATCTTAAAATTAGAAGAATCTGGGGCCAGCACCATGGCGTAGTGGGTAAAGCCGCTTCCTACAGTGCCGGCATCCCACACAGGTTCTGGTTTGTATCCCGGCTGCTCCACTTCCGATCCAGCTCTCCACTATGGCCTGGGAAAGCAGTAGAAGATGGCCCAAGTCCTTGGTCCCCTGCACTTGTGTGGGAGACCCAGAAGAAGCTCCTGGCTCCTGGCTTTAGATCGGCTCAGCTCCGGCCGTTGCGGCCAACTGGGGAGTGAACCAGTGTGTGGAAGACCTCTCTCTCTCTGCCTCGCCTTCTCTCTCTGTGTAACTCTGACTTTCAAATAAATAAATAAATCTTTAAAAAAAAAAAAAGAAGAAGAATCTGGGGGTGGGTACTGTGGCACAGCAGTTAAGCTGCTGCTTGGGATGCCCACATCCTTTGAGAATGACCATGTACAGGTCCCTCCTCACCTTTCAATCCAGCTTCCTGCTAACGTGCACCCTGGGAGGCAGCAGGTGATGCTTCAAGTATTTAGGTTCCTCCCACCCACACGGGAGACCGGGATAGATAGAGCTCCTGGCTTCCCGCCTTACGCCTGGGCCAGTGCTAGCTGCTGTGAGCTTTTGGAGAGTGAATCAGTAGAGAGAAGGTAACAGCTGGATCTCCATCTGATTCTCCCACATGAGTGACAAGGCCCCCAGCACTTGGGCCATCTTCTTCTTTATTTTAGGGATTAAAATTTGTTTTTATTTACAGGAACATTTTAACATTAAAATTGCTTATATTTTTGGGCTTCTGTGTGATATTTCAATACATACATATGTTGTGTAATATCCAGTCAGGGTAAATATATCTACTCAAACACTTACCATTTCTTTGTGGTGACAGTTACTAAATTCCTATCTTGTAGTTTTTCCTGAATAAAGGGATGCTTGATTTGATGCTAAGAAACCTACTTATTAATATTTATTGTTTTAAAATGAGTATTTCCTTTTCTATAATATTTCTTTTAATAGTGGGTTTTAATCTGATTGGAACATATCCGAGGGTATTTTTCCCCAGAAACCTTTTATTTAAGATACATAAATTTCATGCATTTCATAAATACAAATTTAGAAACAATGATTCTTCCCACCCTATCTGCCCTCCCACCCTTCTTCCTACTCCCTCTCCTATTCCTATTCTTATTTTTTACTAAGATCTTTTTTTTTTTTTAAGATTTATTTATTTGTTTGAAAGGCAGAGTCACAGAGGCAGAGGCAAAGACAGAAAGAGGTCTTCCATCTGCTGGTTCACTCCCCAAATGGCCGCAAAGGCTGGAATGGTTGCAATGGCCGAAGCCAGGAGCCAGGAGGTTCTTCCTTGTCTCCCACGCAGGTGCAGGGGCCCAAGCAATTGGTCCATCTTCTACTGCTTTCCCAGGCCAGAGAAATGGATCGGAAGTGGAGCAACCGGGACTTGAACCTGCGCCCACATGGGATTCTGGCACTGCAGGTGGTTTTACCGCTATGCCACAGAGCCAGCCCCACTAAGATCTATTTTCAATTAACTTTATACACATAAGATTAACTCTATACTAACAGCTCAACAAATAGTGTAAAAAAAACTTCCTCAACAGTTGGGACAAGGGTTGTTCAATCTCACTTCTGCAGATTACCTATTAGGGGCTCTGTTAGTTATCACAGGTCAGGGAGAACATACAGTGTTTGTCCTTTGGGGACTGGCTTATGTCACTAAGTATGTTTTCCAATTGCATCCACTTTGTTGAAAATGACAGGAATTATTTGAGAGGTAGAGCTACAGACAGTGAGAGGGAAAGACAGAGAGAAAGGTCTTCCATCTGCTGGTTCACTCCCCAAATGGCCGCAATGGCCAGAGCTGAGCCAATCCAAAGCCAGGAGCCAGGAGCTTCCTCTGGGTCTCCTACACGGGTGCAGGGGCCCAAGCACTTGAGCCATCCTCTACTGCCTTCCCAGACCATAGCAGAGAGCTGGATCAGAAGAGCAACATCCAGGACTAGAATTGGCACCCATATGGGATGCTGACACTGCAGGCAGAAAATTAACCCACTGCATCATAGCGCCAGCTCCAGGAATTCTGTTTTTAACCCCTGTGTAGTATTCCATGGTGTACATAACCAATAATTTCTTTATCCAGTCTTCAGTTGACAGACACTTGGGCCATCTTCTGCTGCCTTCCCAGGCATATTAGCAGGGAGCTAGATTGGGAGTGGAGCAGCCAGGATTTGAACCAGGACTCTATGCGATGTCAGCATCACAGGCTGTGGCTTAACCTGCTACACTACAACGCTGGCCTCAAACATGAACTTTACATTTAAACAGGTAACAAGAGACAAAGGCATCACATTTTGATAAAAGGTTCAATACAACAAGAATAATTATATAACAAATTATACAGGTACCTAGAAAACAGGTTGTGAAATATATGAAATATTAACAGAATTGGGGCTGGCATTGTGGTACAATGAGTGAAGCAGTGGCATGCGATGCTGGCATCCTATATCAAGAATGCCAGTTTGAGTCGTGGTTGCTCTGCTTCTGATCCAGCTCCCTGCTAATGTGCCTGAGAAAACAGCAGAAGATGGCCCAAGTACATGGGTCCCTGCCACCCTCATGGGAGACCATGGATGGAGTTCTGGGATCCTGGCTTCTACCTGGCCCAGCCCCGTCATTGTGGCCATTTGGGGAGTGAACCAGCAGATGGAAGATCTCTCTCTCTCTCTGAGTCTCACCTTGTCTCTCTGCCTTTTAAATAAATACATAAATACATAAATAAGTATATTTTAAGTACTAACAGAATTAAAGGGATGAATACAGTTCTATAATAATAGTTGGAGACTTCAATAATAAATACAAGGCAGAACTAGCACTCTCTATGAAGCCAGTATGACCAATGCCAAAGGCTCCAAGAAAACAAAATTACAGATCAATATCTCTTATGACTACACACACAAAAGTTCCCAACAAAAACACTATCAAAACACTATCAAACCAAATTCAGCAGCATATTAAAAGGATTGTACATCATACCCAAGTGTGATTTATTCCCAGAATGCAAGGATAGCTCAAAGTGAGAAATCAAATAACTAATTAAACAATGGACTGGGTTAATATTTATAATTTATACATATATAATATATAATTTATGTATAATACATAATTCATGTATAATTTTAATTTATGTATAATACATATTCTATCAATTATATAACTATAATAGAATTAACACTAATGGAGTGGCTGGCGCTGTGACATAGCATGTAAAGCCACCACCTGCAGTGCCTGCATCCCATATGGATGCCAGTTCAAGTCCCAGCTGCTTCACTTGCGATCCAGCTCTTGGCTATGGCCTGGAAAAGCAGTAGAAGACAGATGGCTCAAGTCCTTGGGCCCCTGCATCTGAGTGGGAGACCTGGAAGAAGCTCCTGACTCCTGGTTCCTGGTTTCAGATCGGCCCAGCTCTAGCCACTGTGGCCATTTGGGGAGTGAACTAGTGGATGGAAGACCTCTCTCTCTGTCTCTCTCTCTCTCTCTCCCTCCCTCTCTATAACTCTGCCTTTCAAATAAATCTAAAAAAAAAACACTAATGGAATGAAAAAAAACCAACATGATCATCTCAATCAATGCTGAAAGAACATTTAACGACAACATTCAACACTCTTTTATGACAAAAACATTCAGCACACAAATATAAGGGGCCTTCCACAACATGCTAAAGTACATAATGAAAACCCATGGCCGACATGGTACTCAAAGGTGAAAGGCCGATGCTTTCCTCTAAGATCAGAAACAAGGCAAGGAACCTACTTTTGTCACTTCTCTGTCTTGGTGTACTTAGCCTTTTTTTTTTTTATTGACTCTAATTTTAATTTTATTCATTGACTCTAATTTTAAAGGAGTTTTGCAGAGACAAGTAAGTGATGGCAAACCACATTATTTAACCAGAAATCTTTTGCTAATACTAGTGACATCATTTCTACACAACTGTATGACTGTAGCTAAAGTACAAAATCATGATTAAAAGAATAAAGTCTGGGGCCGGCACTATGGCACAGCGGGTTAACGCCCTGGCCTAAAGCTCTGGCATCCCATATGGGCGCCGGGTCGAGACCCGGCTGCTCCACTTCCGATTCAGCTCTCTGCTGTGGCCTGAGAAATCAGTAGAAGATGGCCCAAGTTCTTGGGCCCCTGTACCCACGTGGGAGACCCAGAAGAAGCTCCTGGCTCCTGGCTTCGGATCGGCACAGCTCCGATCGTTGGCGGCCAATTGGGGAGTGAACCAGCGGATGGAAGACCCCCCCTCCCCCATGTAACTCTGACTTTCGAATAAATAAATAAATCCTAAAAAAAAAAAAAAAAAAAAAGTCTACGGGATGGGAGTTTGGCTCAGCAGTTAGGACATCACCCGTATCACCCACATCCATTTTGGAGGGCCTGGGCATAAGTCCCAGCACCATTTCCAACTCCAGCTTCCTGCTGATGGCTGCTCTGAGACTCAGCCCAAGTAGTTGAGTCCCTGTCATCTCCACAGGGGACCCGGATGGAGATCCAGTATCTTGCTTCAGCCAGCCCCATTCCTGGGTATTTCAAGGCATTTGGGGAGTGAACCAGGGCGTGGAAGATCTCTGTGTGTGTGTGTGTCTGTGTCTGTGTGTGTCTGTCTGTCTGCTTCTGTCTCTTTCAAATAAATACAAAAATGTAACTGTCAAACAAGAGAATAAAAGTCTAGTGTCTGCACAGGATCGCTTCCTCTGGCTCCTCACTTGACGGCTGATTTCCAACTCAGGGAAAGCAGCTGTTACACAAAGCAAGCTCTTTGCTGGACAGCAGAGCCCCTTCCCCGCCCCCTCTTCACCCTCAGGTTTCACTGTAAACAGCCACTCTCCCCACTCCTACCTAAATCAACACTTGGGAGATGGGGCCAGTGCTGAGGTATAGTGGGTTAAGCCGCTGCCTGCAGTGCCGGCATCCCATATGGGTACCAGTTCGAGTCCCAGCTGCTCTACTTTTGATCCAGCTCTCTGCTATGGCCTGGGAAAGCAGCAGAAGATGGCCCACGTGCCTGGGCCCCTGCACCTGAGTGGGAGACCCGGAAGAAGCTCCTGGCTCCTGGCTTCGGATCGGCACAGCTCCAGCTGTTGCAGCCAATTGGGGAGTGAACCAGCGGATGGAAGACCTCTCTCTCTCTCTCTCTCTGCCTCTCCTCTCTCTGTGTAACTCTGACTTTCAAATAAATAATCTTAAAAAAAAAAAAAAAGACTTGAGAGAGTAAAGACTCCCCTAGGGCTTCTGACACAGCTCCCCCACACTTGACTAAGTTACCTGTTCAGGTGCCCTGGTCACAGCCAGGTTCTCTGAGGGAAACACTCCACTTGTAAATATAGCAAATATTGATTTTCCTGAGCCCGCAAGACCTGCTCCATCCTCACCCTTTTCTCCTTCAACTGATGTCAAACCCCCCACCACAACCACCTACCACCACCACCACCAAGTTCAGCAGCTCAGGCCAAAAACCTTAGAGCAATTCCTAATTCCCTTTAAAAAAAAAAAAAAAAACTCATTTCCGATTCTCAATCTTTTGTAAAACCTATCCAGGATCTGACCATCGCCACCACCAAGACCCTGGGCAAAGCAGGTGCGCACTGGGACAGGCTCCTTCCTTCCTTCCTTCCTTCCTTCCTTCCTTCCTTCCTTCTTTTCTTTCTCTTTTCTTTCTCTCTTTCTTTCCTCTTTCTCTTTCTCTCCTCTTTCTCTCCCTCTCTTTCTCTCCTCTTTCTCTTTCTCTCCTCTTTCTCTCTCTCTCTCTCCTCTTTCTTTCCCTCTTTCTCTTTCTCTCCTCTTTCTCTCTTTCTCTCCCTCTCTTTCTCTCCTCTTTCTCTCTTTCTTTTTTTTTTCCGAGAACCTTCCTGAGACTCTCGTGGCCCCCCTGCACTGGTTCCCAACACGGCAGCCAGGGTGATTATTCCAAAACCAAAGTCAGTGATTTCACGCCTCTGCTCAAAATCCCGCCATGCCCCCCCACCCCAAGGATCTGCACTCTCTGCTCCCCACTTTCTAACCCTCTCCTCGCTCCCCTGCCCCAGCCGTCCCGCCGCCCTCAGTTCTCCCAGCGAGATCTCTCTTTCTCTCTGGCGTCCACTCCATGAGGTCCACTGCGCTCCCTTCTCGGGCTCTGCCCCGTCCGAGAAGGCAGGCACCTCTGTTCTGAGCGGCGCCTGCCTCGCGCTCAGGCGCTCAATGGCCGTTAACCGTAAACCTTAAACCCCCGGACTCCTCGCCACCGCTAAAAACACCGCGACGAACAGCACCCGGAGGTGAGCCCCGAGCGAGCGAGCTCAGACGCCCACACCCGCTACTCGGGACTGAAAAATCGAATTTTCCTTCCACCTCAGCTTTTAGAAAGTGCGCGTCCCAAGCTCACCCCATCCAACCTGGGCAAAGCCCCATGCAGCCGACCAATCAAAATCTCGCTCTTTTTTTTTTTTTTTTTTTTACCCCTTCAGAGACCTTTGCTTTCCGACGCCGGTGCCAAGAAGCGCGGGTAGCGGCCAATCGAGCCGCCGGGCGGTTAGCTGGGGCGGTTGCCTAGGTCACCCACAGCTTCCGCCGCCAAGAGGGAAAAAGGGGGCGGGGCGGGGCGGCGGACGTCCCGCCCCTAGCGCGCTGCGGGGCCTGGGATTGGCTCGCCGCCGTGTGGTCACGCCCCCTTCCCTGAGCCCGGGCTGCCGGCGCGGCCCCGAGGACGACCTGGAGGTGGCGGTTGGCGCCTGCCGGGCGCCGCCCCCGCGTGAGGCGCGGAGCCCCGTGGCCCGCACACCTGGGTTCCGCCCGGGATAAGTCGCCGGGGGCTCGGCTCCCGGAGGGGTGCCTCTCCCCCCGGGGACCCTTCCAGCCGCATTTTTCCTGGTGGTTCATTCAGGCTGCCGTGCGAGCCCGAAGATCGGGTTCTAGATCCAGAAAATTCTGGGAAACCTCAGCGTGGGCCGGCTTCGCATCTAAGACGCTTGTTTAAAAAGGGGTTATCTCCGAGGAGTTTGCGCCTTCTGACGGGCCCTGGTCTTCGTGGGAGTCCCTGGGCTTGGGGATCCTCCATGTGTCCATGAATGCACGTTGGAAAGCCGAGCCCTGGCCCTGGCTGTGGTGCTCACCTGCTGCGTGGCCTTGGGCAAATCACATCCTGTTTCTGACCTTCTTTCCTCACCTTTTTGTGAAGAGATTTGACTGAGTGGCCCCAAAAAGGCCTTTCTGGGGCCGGTACCATAGGCCGCTGCCTGCAGTGGCTGGCATCCCATATGGGCACCAGTTCGAGTCCCGGCTGCTCCACTCCCAATCCAGCTCTCTGCTATGGCCTGGGAAAGCAGAAGATGAACCCAAGTGCTTGGGCCCCTGCACCTGTGTGGGAGACCTGGAAGACTCCAGCCATTGAGGCCATTTGGGGAGTAAACCAGCAGATGGAAGATCTCTCTGTAACTATCAAATAAATCTTTTTTAAAATTAAAAAAAAAAAAACCTTCTAGTTCTTTGCTACTAAAGAGCTTTGATAACATATGCAAATATTCCTTGCAAACGTTTGAGATTGTTCTGCGAATTATAAGCAATTCACATTGCTGTCTTAGCCACCTGCATTTCCAGAATTCCTAGAGAAGGAAGGCAAGGTCTACACTGGCGCCTAAAAGTGAAATACAGGCTGCACCACCTGGAACCGAGGCGCCGAGGCTGGGGCCGCATCCACTGTGTTAACTCCTCCCCTCACAGGGGAGGCGGCTTGGGGGCCGCTAAGTGGCAGCTCAAGGACAACCTCAGGTTTTCTGACCGCATGATCAACGCCTTCCCCAGTGTTAGCCACTAGAAAGCATAAATAGGCAAAAGCAGGAAGAATTACCCGCGGAAGCGAGCAGTAGTCATGGCACCACGTCTGCTTCCGCTCACTGGAACCTGCACCCTGCCTGCACTGGGGTGAACGACGGAGCACCCATAGAGCAATAGGAACTGAAACAGCAGCAGCGGGCATTCGGCGTCGTGGTTAAGACATTCTTAGGCCGGCGCCGTGGCTCACTTGGCTAATCCTCCGCCTGCGGCGCCGGTACCCCAGGTTCTAGTCCCGGTTGGGGCGCGCCGGACGCGGCGGCCATTGGAGGGTGAACCAACGGCAAAAGGAAGACCTTTCTCTCTGTCTCTCTCTCTCACTGTCCACTCTGCCTGTCAAAAAAAAAAAAAAAAATTATGTTTGAAAGGCAAGGGAGGGAGGGAGAGAGAGAGATCCCATCTGCTTTCTTACTCCTCAGAATGCCTGCAACAGCTGGGGCTAAGCCAAACCCAAGTGGGGAGCCTGGAACTTAACCTGGGGTTCCTGTGTGTGTGACAGGGACCTAATTAGTTGAGCAACGACCTACTACCTCCCAGAGTGTGGAAGGGCACATCTGGAGCCCAGCTGGGACTCAAACCTAGGCACTAAGAAGAATGTCTTTTTTTTTTTTTTTGACAGGTAGAGTTATAGACAGTGAGAGAGACAGAAAGAAAGGTCTTCCTTCCATTGGTTCACTCCTCTAATGGCCACTACGGCCAGCGCTGCGCGGATCCAAAGCCAGGAGCCAGGTGCTTCCTCCTGGTCTCCCATATGGGTGCAGGGCCCAAGCACTTGGGCCATCTTCCACTGCACTCCCTGCCCACAGCAGAGAGCTGGCCTGGAAGAGGGGCAACCGGGACAGAATCCGGTGCCCCGACCGGGACTAGAACCCGGTGTGCCGGCGCCGCAAGGTGGAGGATTAGCCTATTGAGCCACGGCACCGGCCAAACATAAATATTTAAATAAAGATAATGAAGCAAGTTATTTCCCTCTTCTGGTTTTACTTATTGTTCACTGCTGCTTTCCAGAAGAGCTGCTTAACTTCGTTTAAAAAATATTTATTTATTTATTTGAAAGAGTTACACACAGAGAGAGAAGGAGAGGTAGAGAGAGAGAAAGGTCTTCCATATGCTGGTTCACTCACCAAATGGCTGCAACAGCCGGAGCTGCGCCGATCTGAAGCCAGGAGCCAGGAGCTTCTTCCAGGTCTCCCACGTGGGTGCAGGGGCCCAAGGACTTGGACCATCCTCTACTGCTTTCCCAGGCCATAGCAGACAGCTGAATCAGAAGTGGAGCAGCCAGGACTCCAACCGGTGTCCATATGGGATGCCGGCACTGCAGGTGGCGGCTTTACCCGCTACACCACAGTGCCGGCCCCCAGCTGCTTAACTTCTAATGTTCCAAGCCCATTTTTGCAGCCTTCAGTGGTCATCTAACCACCTTCCAAAAACAGAAGGGGGAAGAAAAGAAGAGAAGAGAAGAGAAGAGAAGAGAAGAGAAGAGAAGAGAAGAGAAGAGAAGAGAAGAGAAGAGAAGAGAAGAGAAGAGAAGAGAAGAGAAGAGAAGAGAGGAGAAAAAAGGGAAGGGGAGGGGAGGGGAGGGAAGAAAAAAGCCGTTAAGCCCCAAACAACACGTGCCATTTATCCACAACATCCAGACTAAATCTACAAAGGCAGAAATTACATCAGTGGTTACCTAGGGCTGGGAGTGGTGAAATTGAGAGAAAAGGAGAAATGGCAGCTAACAGAAGTTTATCTGTGGGTGATGAGAATGTTCTAAGATTCATTCTGGTGGTGGGTTGTACGACCCTGTGAATGTACTAAAAATCATTGAACTGTACACATTATAAGTGGATGAAGTGTAGGATACGCAAATCATGCCATAACTTGCTTTAAGTTTCCATTTGGCCCAGAACCCACAACCTGAACCTGAGTAAGTGGACAGCTGAGTTCTGGGGCCTGCCCACATCCCTCGTTAACCCCAAATGTCTTAGTCTTTTTAGGGATGTATTTATTTGTTTATTTTTGAAAGGGTTACACAGAGACAGAAACAGAGAGAGGTCTTCTGTCTGCTGGTTCATTCCCCAGATGGCCACAATGGTCAGTGCTGGGCTGATGAAGCCAGGAGCTTCATCCGAATCTCCCACGTGGGTGGCTGGGACCCACACACTTGGGCCATCTTCCGCTGATGTTCCCAGGCCATTAACGGGGCACTGGAGCGGAAGTGGAACAGCAGGAACACAAACCAGCACCCATACAGGATGCCAGTGTCACGGGTCGCAGCTTCTACCCGCTACTCCACAATGCTGGCCCCAGCCAGGGATTTTTTTTTAAAGATTTATTTATTTTATTTTCTTTCTT